TCCTGGAGCCCATGTCCATGGAAGGTAACGCTCCCCCATGCCTTTTCTGCAGCCCGGTTCTTTCCCTTAGCCCTTGCATCAGCCAGCTTCCCTGACTTTCCTTCCCCAGGCTCCCCCTTAATCCCCCCTCTACGTCCAGGTTGAGTTTCCCTCTGGAGTTACGATTTGCCTCCCTTCAGTAGGGAGTGACAGCCCCTGAGACCTACTCTGTCTTGGTGCAGCTCTGTGTGTGTGTTCAGTGGGGTGGTGACACCTACTTCCCCACTGGGCTGTCACATCACCACCTCCCCACTCCCCCAAAACTTCTCTACCTTTCCTGTGGCAGGGGCAGGATGTTGTTGTGAAGAAAGTTTTTGGCTGCATTTAGAAAGTCAGGAGTGGGAAGAGGATGGTTTGGAGGGGAGGGGGTTAACTTGGAAATCTAGGGCCAAATTCTGCTTTCAATGGCACCATCTGAGTAGGAGGCATTGGGATGGCTGTGCTGGGGCTGAGACTGGGCAGCTGGGAGTGCTTTCCCTCCAAGAGCAGCTGCCAGCTCTGCAAATGCAGAAGGATGGAGTCTCTTCCAGGATCCCGGAGCCCTTGGCTTTCCTGCTGACTCAGCCAGTCCCGGCACTGGGCTCTGGAGGCAGAGCCAGGGGTCAGCACCCACGCAAACACAGAGGCACTCAAATTGGAGAGGGTACAGGCTGCTGTGTGCTCGCAGGCTGCGATGGTCCCAGCTCCCCCAAGCATTCACCCCAGGGTCACTCTGTTGACCTCTGGGGAGCTTCTGAGTTACTGAGAGGACACTTGGCCTCACACGGAGGACTCCCATCTCTCGGCCCTGTCAGGCAAAGTCCATGGGACCTTTGCTGGATGCAGGGCTGTGGCCAGTGTGGGCACGGAGCCAAATTCACCCTGGGTGCAAGTCCATGGGGATTACAGCAGGGGCAAATTTGGCCTGGTGTGGAACATGGGACACCTGTTTCCTGAGCACCCCCTGTCCCTCGCATCCCTGGGGGAAGATGCCACAACCCTGGCCAATGCATGAGGGACCGGATAGGATCTAAGCAGGCGTATCTAGAGCTTGACATAAACCGCAGGCACTTGCTGGGGCTCTACCAGAGCCACGCAGGAAGCAAAGCAGGGCCTGCAACATGCTCACACGCGCACATGACTCCGGTCCAGCGCCAGGGGAGGTGTTCCCTTTGGGGGTCTCCAGCTCCCTGGCTGGGAATCCTCATTTACCAACCTCCTGTCCTCACCACGTCTGTCTGCGCCCACCCCTTTCCCCCCCGTCAGAGGGAGAGGAGCCAGGCATATCAGTAACCACAAGTCATCTCAGCATCACGCGGGCCCCATGAAATATTAACCACACCGTGAAACCTGCTGGTTTTGCTCTTAAATCAAGAAACTGAATCCCTGCCCTGGACCCCTCAAGGACACTGGTCTGCGGCTCTGCTTCCACCCCAGCTGCACACCCCTGCACCATTCCCATGGCAGCATCCAAGCCTGGCCCAAGAGGAGGAGGAGGAGGTGGAGGTGGAGGCAGGCAGGTATTCCTAAGTGTTCCCATCTCAAGCCCCTGCTCCACCATGGCTGCAAGGAAGAGACCAGGGGCAGGCAGGAGCAGCCTGGAGCAGCCCCCGGCTGTGTCAGCACCTCTCAGAAGCCTTCAGGTTGGTTCAGTGCTGCTGCTGCCTGGCCTGGTTTGGAAAAAAACACAGTTGCTGCATCATGTCCTGGGCTCACTCTGACCTTGCTGTAGGGGGGAATCTCACACTCCAGCTCCAGCGTGTTGATTCAACCTTAACTCCAAAAGTCTCAGCTCCCCCCTGCATCTCCCTGTGCCCTTCTCTCAGCTGAATACACCTCCCCGGGGCAGATCCTCTGGTGGCACTGCACTGTACCATCCTGAAACTTGGGTGCTGGGAAAGGAAGTGGTAGATGCATCTTTCTCTTGGGGTGATCATGCCATGTCCAGGTGGGGGAGCATTGGCAGGGCTGTAAGACAGGAATGCCTGGCCCAGGTGAAGGTGGGGGCAGCATTCTCCTCTTCCTCCCAAAGAGGGCAAGCTTTCCCACTTGAGCAGAAGTGGAGCTGGGAGGGTGGGGGGTTGTAAGGCTGGGATGCGATGCACCTGGGAGCTGAATTTCACTCCCTACTAGGTGTCTCTCCCACTCCCATGCAAAGAGATGATACAGGGCTCAGCTTGAATGGGGTCTCTCCTGTGAATCCTTTAATGGCAGTATTAGTGTACATGAATATTAGTGTACATCTATTTATGAATTGTAGTCCTAAAGCTAAATGCAGTGCATCATACCAGCACCTCTGGTGTAGGCCCAGGCATGCCTACAACCAGGTGCCTGGCACCGGGAGGCATACCAATGAAACAGAGTAAGGTGCTGTGGGCTCCAGGGGCAAACAGTGGAGATAATTATGCATCCAGACCCCTTCTGAGGGTAGGCTCATCACTGGGAAAGAAACTGCAGACCTCAAATGGTGGAGAGGAGTCTGGCATAGACATTTTCAGGGGCAGGCCTTCTGAGAAGGGCAGTGGGTGGAGGTATGGCTATGGAGATGGGTGCACGGATATGTGGTGCAAACTGTGTAACAGGTTTATAATGTTTTAACTGTCAAAGTGTGTTTTAATCTGCCAAGTGAACCACAGGGGCTGCTTGGCAGAGTGTTGGAAGTGAAGTTATGTATACACATACACACACCCCTTCACTTCCAACACTCTGCCAAGCAGCCCCTGTGGTTGTGTGCATCTATCTATATATACATACACACACACACACACACACACACACACACTTTTTTAATTAAAAAAAACTGGGGAGGGAGAGCCACCTTTTGTACAACAGCCTCATGGTATAGCACTCCTCCAGGAAAAGGGAGTCCTACGTTCTTGGGCATGCTCCACCTGATGGAGATTAAACCTACCCTGGCCCACCTGCCCTTCCAGCCCTCCTGCTGATGCTTGCTGCGCGTTCTACATTAGACAGGCACCGTATGGTGCATGGCTGCCGGGCCCAGGCTCTCCTGGATCTGCTTCTGTCAGCTAGGTGCCCGAGTGCTGCACAGGGGTGCCAAGGCTGCCCATCTGGATCTTGCCCTTAATAGTGTAACCGTTCAGTGGCATAAAGACAGTGGGAACAGATGGGAACTGCCTGCCTCGGTCCACAGGTGGCGCAGAGGGAACACACGTTACATCAGAGGTTAGCTCCGCAGCAGGCTGCCCTCCCTCTGTCTGGGGAGGCTGGATTTGCCCTCTCTGTTGAGAAGACATCCTTGGGCTGTCAGGCAGGGAGGGCTCATAGACGTGGCTTGAATGTGAAGGAGTGGTCTTGTTTATCAAAGTCTGGGTAAGGACTGATGCCTATGGAAATTTCCTAGCGGCTAGGGGGCTTGTCCTGCAGAGAGATCTGGCTTTCTGAATGTGGGCACAGTGTTGTCCCTTGGGTATTACTGTGCTGCAGAATGAAGACTTCTGCTAAGAAATATGGTGGAGCCACTTCCACTCCTTCCCAAGACAGTGGTTTTCTGCCCAGCAAATGACAATTGGGAGCAAGCAAGCCAGGATAGGCCCCATTACTGCCTTCTATAGTAATGGCCTCTAAAGTAGCAGTACTGTGAGCTGTGGCATGTGGCTGGCTCCTGGGCCAGCTGAATACATGGCTGTGGTGGCCTTATGGTGATGGTAGGCTACCTGCAGTTGACAGTGTGTTTGACGGGCTCCACAATCGATTTGATGCTAGTTTAGCAAGCATCAGGAGTTGAACCGACCAATTCAGAAGCTCAGGCTGCAGCCTTCGTGCACAAGGTCCAGTTCCCCCAGCTGTGCATGTGGCTAAATCCATAGTTTTGGTGGATCAGGTGGGGGCCTGCATTGACCCATGGATACCAAAGACACAGTCTGGCGATGCTCTGCTTGCGAAAGCACCTGCGCGCTTTGTTTGGGTGTTGATTACGTGGAACATTTGCCTGAGTACAGACTTTGCTGAGAGAACCATGTATTTAAGGGCACCTCTATTTGTGCATGTCCCAGCCCCCTTCTCTGCAGGTAGCTACTGGTATGGGGTCCCAGTGCTCTGAGACCCCATACCAGTACTGTACAGAGAGATTGTAAGAGGTAGTCCCTGCCCCAAGAGGTGAAACTGTCCAAGGGCTTCATCCGTGACCCAGGTTTGGGATGAGGCCCTGCATGATGGAGATAAAGAGCTGAGTAAGAAGGGATCCCCAAGCTCTCCTGAGTTCCAGCCCAGTGCTGCAATGCCGAAACCAGCCTATATATTCTCTCTCAGCTGCAAGGGCTGAGTGATGTATATCATACGTAGCTCAGGGTTGTTGGGAATGGGAAAAGAGACTGTGCGCTCTGTGTAAACAGCAGCCTTTTTGAAGCATGCTGAGCACGTGGGCCTGATGATCATTAGTGGTGTACGTCAGGAAATCCATGGAGCTAACCCATCTTCCACCACCTGACAGTCTGGCCCATGGTTGGCAGGCCCAACATGCACCTGGTCTCCCTGAAAGTGGCAGAGTTTATGTTTATGGTTTCTCAGGGTACATCTAGGCAGAGCAAGCTGGCTCTCAAATCAGAAGTGGCATAGCTGGGTCAGTTTGGTGCTCATCAGCTAATGAAGTGGGGCTAATTAGCCCAGGTGGGGCACCCCACCCATATAGCCCCACTGGAGCCAGGACCTGAGCTGGTATCTCTGCACAGTGCTGTACTGTGGTGTGTAGGCATCCCAGCTCAGAGCTAGCAGGGGTGTCACTGCACAGCCCCATGTAGACATGTTCTCAGTGACCCCCTCAGGTTTCGGGAACAAGAAGGGCCTGGTTTCCCTGGAAGCTGGGGTCCTGCAGCTACCACTGCCTTACACAGGAACAGCAGGGAGATTTCATAGACATGTGGACTGGAAGGGACCCCGGAAGGATCATCGAGTTCAGCCCCCCGCCCCAGGGGCAGGAAGTCAGCAGG